TAAAACTGATGAATTGACCTTCAAAAACTTTTTCAAATAGAGTGAAAAGAAAACCTATTGACAGGGAAAAACCCCATTATTATTATTATTAATTTTAATGAAAGTTTACAGAGACTTTGGATTTCCATTCATGCATTGTTGCACTTTTCTCCCTGCCCACACCTCCCCCCCAGTTCACTCTTCTCTTTGAAAAAATAAAAGAAAAATTATTTCATTGTTGTACAATCCACATTACAACCTGGACAAAAGCCATAGAAAGACTTTTCACAGAGGAAGACATTCAGATGGTCAACGACACATGAAGAAATGCTCAAAATCACTGGCAATAATAGAGATGCAAATCAAAACCACAATGGGATACCATCTCACCCCAGTAGCAGTGGCAAAGTTTAACAGGACAGTAAGCAGTAAGTGTCAGTGGGATGAAGTGATAAGAACTCTCAGACAATTTTGTTGGGATTGTAAAATGGTACAACCGCTCTGGAAGGCAGTTTGCCGTTTCCTCAGAAAGCTGAACATAGAGATTTCATGTGACTCACCTGTTCCATTGCTAGAAATATACCTTGAGAAACAAATGGAAATTTGTACATCAATGTCCACAGCAACAGTATTCACATTTGCAAGAATATGGAAATAGCCCAAATGTCTACCACAATGGAGTAGATTGAGAAATTGTGTTACATTCACGGGATGGAATACTGTGCAGCAATCAGGAGCAACAATTTCAAAATTCGCTAGATAATTTGGGAGACTGGAGGGCAAGCCAATATAAAATAAAATTGGGGGAAAAAGTATATATAACACAACATTTGCCGTTTCAACCTTTTGTAGGTGTGTATCTTAGTGCTATCAGTTACATTAATCATGTTGTGCAATTATTGTTCTTAAATCAGTGCCAAATATCTTACCACCATTGACAAAAACTCATTGCTTTCTGAACAAAGACTTCCCTTCTTCCCTGTCTCCTATTCCTGATAACTACTAATAAAGCTTAATCTCTATTCATTTTCCTATTCTTGGCATTTCATATGAATGAGATTGTATAATATATGTTCTCTTGTAAGTGAATTCACATGTTGTTGTTGTTGTTGTTGTTGTTGTTGTGTAATCTCTTCATTTTCCTATTCATGGCATTTCATATGAATGAGACTGTATAATTTTGTTCTAGTGAGTGAATTCACATAGTATAATATTTTCAAGGTTCAACTATGTTGCCGCTAGATAGATCAAGGCTTAATTTCTCTTTATAACTTAGTAGTATTCTGTTGTCTATATATACTACATTTTGTGTATTTATTTATCTGTTGATGCATAGTTGTTTCCACCTTTTAGCTGTTGTAAATAGTGCTACCAGTTATCTTCATCTGGCATGTATCAGATCCTTCAGTTATGCTTTCTTCCTGCCTATTCTGATCTTTTTATACTTCAGTGGTTATTTGGCATAGTCTGTAGAAGGTTGTGCTGCTAAGCCAGAGGTGTCTCTGGTGGTTCCAATGCACTAGCAGTTCTAAAAGTCAGAGATAGGCAATTGCCTCCCATTCCAGTTTCCAGCCTCAGCTCAGTTGTTAGTTGATTCTGACTGGAATGAGTGTAAGAGTGCTGAATATCCATGGACGGCCAAAAGAGCAGAGATATGTCTCAGAGAAGGTGCAGCCAGAATGCTCCTTAGAGGCAACGATGATAAAGCTTCAGCTCACTTTCTGCATGTTGCTGTTGTGTACCACCTAGTGGAAATTGACCTATAGCACTGGTGGGTTTTCAGAGGTAGTACACTGCATAAGAGGAGATTGCCCATCTTTCTCCCACAGAGTTGCTGGTGTATTCGAACAACATGCCTTTGGATTGCAGCTCAGCTTCTTAACACTAGGCCACCATAGCTCCATGAGCATGTTGCTAGGAGAGGCTATTTCTTTAAAAAATAATTAATTTTATATTGGTTTTCATTCAAAATTCATATACATTGTGTTTCATTTATGTACATTGTGTTTCACACATTCCTTCTTTCACATTGTGTTTCATATGATAGTTTCTATACATTGTGTTTTATAAAATTAATCACCATTAATCTATACCCACTATCACTTCATATTTTTTCAGGTGCCTACTGGATCTTTCCTAATTCCTTCAACCCCTCCCTCTGCCCACCAGACTCTGTGACTTTTCGATTTCTCCCTCCACTCTACTCCCCCCTCAACCCCCTCCTCCACCCTTCCCCCTTTGGACTTTTATACTCATTAATAAAGGCTATTCTTTGGAGAAGGACATCTTGCTCAGAAAGTTAGAGGGTTCAGGAGAGAGAGGAAGACCCTCAACCATATGAACTGACTCAGTTACTGTAGCAATGGGTATGCCAGTAGGTCAGAGATTGTGAGGATGGCACAGAATTCAGATCTGATTTCATGAGTCACTGTGAGTCATATTCAGCTCAATGGCACATCACAACAAAACAGTCTAACAGAATCTTTTTTTTTTTTGTAGTGGTGAGTGTATGTAACAAAAAACATAATTTCAACATTTTTTACTGCACATAAGTTTTCTCAATTCAAGCAGGATTTAGAAGACATGGTGGCACTAGAGATATCATTGCTGATGTCAAATGGATCTTGACTGAAAATAAAGAATACCAGATGAATATGTATTTAAGCTTTATTGATTATGCAAAGACATTTGACTATGTGGATCATAGCAAGTTGTGGCTGATATTGAGAAGAATGGGAATTCCAGAGCACTTGATAGTACTCATGCAGAATCTATACCTGGACCAAGAGGCTGTTGTGTGAACAGAGCAGGGGAACACTGCATGGTTCCAAATTGAGAAAGAAGTGCATCAGGGTTGTATTCTCTCTACATACCTATTCAGTCTGTATGCTGAGCAAAATATTTGAGAAGCTGGACTCTATGAAGAGGAGTGTGGCATCAGGATTGGAGGGAGACTCATCAGTAACCTGCATTATACAGATAATATAACCTTGCTTGCTTAAAAGTGAGAAGGACTTGACGCACTTGCTGCAGAAGAGCAAGGAATGCAGCCTTTACTATGGATTGCATCTCAGTGTCAAGAAAACAAATATTTTTACCACTGGACCAGTAGGCAGCATTATGATGGATGGAGATTGAAACTGTCAACAGCTTCATCTTGCTTGGATACACAATTAACACCCTTGGTATGAACAGTCAGGAAATAAAGAGATGCGTTGTATTGGGGAAATCTGCAGTTAGGGACCTTTCCAAATTATTTAGAAATAGTGATGTCAATTTGAGGACCAAGGTATATCTGATTCAGGCCATGGTCTTTCAGATTATTTGCTATGCATTTGAGAGCAGGACAATGAATAAGGATGATAGAAAAAGAATTGAAGCCTCTGAGCTGTGGTGTTGGAGAAGAGCACTGAACATCTCATGGATGGCCAAGAAAACAAACAGATATGTCCTGGAGAGGGTGCAGCCTGAGTGCTCTTCAGAGGCAAGAATGATGAGGTTTTGCCTCACACACTTTGGGCAAGTTGCTAAGAGGGGCTACTCCTTGGAGAAGGACATGATGATGAAAAGAGTGGAGGGTTGGCGAAGGAAAAGACTACTCTCAACTAAGTAGATTGACACAGTGACTGCTGAAATGGGCTCTTGTGTGTCAGGTTGTGTGAGGATGGCACTGGACAGAACAGGTTTCAGATCTTTTATTCATAGGGTCACTATGAGTCGTACTCAACTCAATAACACCTAACAACATTGGTTTTATATAGCTCACGATTAAAATTTAAGCACATTTGTACATTTAATTTTAAGAGTCTGAAAATTGTAGAGAAAATAATATGCAGTTCATAAAGAAAAATTAAAGTTTTACATTATATGGAGCAATCAAAAATTTATTTTAAAATAGTGTAAATTGGCCATATTTTATGAGCATCAGTGCTTTATAGTTACTTTTATACATTATTGCAATATTTTCTCTCCTCTTGCAATGGTGTTAATTACACTCATCATGCCAGGCAACCATCACCATGTTACAAATTTTCTCATGACCTTTAACAGAAGCTCAATGACTGTCTTTCCTCTTCCCACCTACCCTTGCTTGGTAACCAATAGCAGACTTTGGTGTCTATGCATTTACCACTCAGTTATTGTTTTGCTCCAAGTTACTTCTTAATTCTTTATGTAAAATAGGGATTACAGCATCTCCTTCAGGGGAATAAAGTGGTAACAGGATAGCTCGTGTAGAAAACTTAGCAAAATGTATATAATAAGTGCTAAATAATGGCGTTCTGGTGGTGTAATCTATTGAGAGTTGCCTTGCCAGCCCCAAAGGTCACACACACTTCTCTGCCAGTGGTTCTAAGGCAAAACAATGGGCAATATCCTCTTATGTGATTTATAGCCTTGAAAACTCACTGGAGGGCCAACTATCAGTCTATTCTGACTCAACAGAGTTTGTAAATTGACAGTTTAAGGGATAATTATTGTTTGTAAAAGTAATATTTATTGGTTACCTATAGTGGGCTCGATGCTTCAAGTCAGCAGTATTATGATTCTGATGACCATTCATCGTCAATGCCATTCAGTTGGAACCAACCCATGGCTGGTCTTCCAGTGGTTTTCCTAGGCCATAAATCATGAGGGAGGAAATTGTCCATCTTTCTGCAGTGGAATTGCTAGTGAATTTGAGCCACCAGAAAGGCACTGCATTTGGGTTACTCCATCTGGACAAAGTTCCAGAGCTCCCAGTCCTATGGTAGTGTATGTATGTTGCTGCTTTGTGCCATAGAGTCAGAACAACTCGTAATTGAACCTGCAGTAAGTTTTCAGAGGCTGTAAATGGTACAGTAGGAGATTGCTCATCTTTCTTCTTTGGAGCAGTTGGTAGATTTGAACTACCTGCCTTTTGGTTGGCGGTGCAACTTCTTACCACCAGACTACCAGAGTTGCCTAGTATATATCATTAGCACCGAACTAAGACTGAAGCATCAGTGAAATAGTTTGTTTCTGAATCCTGCCTCTAATTTCAGTTTGGGACCCACTCTTGAACCTGAGGAAGTTGTAAGCAAACTGATGAATGGGATCCTGACTGAGAAGAAGATGATTTTTGTTCCATTCTCTATAAGCATCTTAACAATACTGGAAAGGTAAGTACCAATAGTAAAAGGTAAGTTAACATTAGACATTAAAATATATGTAAAAAATCTTGTATTTAAAAGCAAGTTTTGTAGTTGATTAAGGTAATGGAGTAAATGAAATTATTGTAATAAATTTAAAAATATAATTTTTATACGATTGGTGCTAATTAATTAGGTTTGGTATAACTTTGAAGGTAAATTAATGGAAGTATTTGTATAAGTTTTAAAAATTATTATTATTTAATTATAATAAAATACACATACTAGAATATTTGAGAGCAAAACAACTTCCATATTTGCAATTCCTTTTCACAATTTTCTACATGTTTATTTTTAAAAGAATGAAATTTACATATTTCTGGAAGCGTCTGTCTTATAATAAATGATTATTTACTAGAACTATAGGACAATATAACACTGGAGGGAACCACAGTTATGTTTTCATTTGCATGTACAAAAGATGATTCTTGCATTTTGTTTTATGTAAAATCATACTGAAGTGTGTTGTTGTTATTGTTGTTGTTTTGTACATCAAGTTGGAACCAATTCGTAGCTAACCTTCTGGTGAGTTTTCAGAGGCAGTTAATCACATAGGAGAAGTTTTTCCATTCTTCTTCCACAGAGCAGCTAGTGGACTCAAACTGCATGCCTTCAGAACTGCAGCAGGTTTTCAGAGGCAATCATTTCTAAATAATCTTTTGTCTTTTTAATGATTGTGGACACTTAAAATGTTGTCACAGTTAATTGCCTCAGCATCACCTGGGACTGTTATTTACAGTTTCAGACTTTTGGCCTCCCTCACTCCATTGTTCCTAAATTAGAATCTACAGTTCCATAAAATCCCCACATGGCTCGCATGCATATGAAAATCTGAGAAGCACTTTTTAGAGCTATAGATCTCATACTCAGTGCACATTGAAAATACTGGAGAATTTTAAAGAATGCTGGTTTCTGGAAACTATTGTCCGAAATTCTGATTGAATTGCTGTAGCCTGAACTTGGAGAGATGTAACAGATCTGGAGCGGATTCTAATACACACATAAAAATGCAGAGCACTTATTTAAAGAATTCCTTTCCAGAAGCCAAGGAGCTCTGTTGGTATAGTGATTAAATGGCTAACAAAAGTCAGCTGTTTGTACCTGCCAGTCACTCTGGGAACAAGACGTGGCAGTCTGTTTCTGTAGATTTACAGCTTTGGAGGCCTTATGAGGCAGTTCTATGAGGCAGTTCTACTCTGTCCTATAATGTTGCTATGAGTTGGAAGTGATTTGATGGAATTGGTACTCCATAATCCACTAACTGTTACTTACCTGGGAAAGCTATATGACAATGAATTTCACTAGATCATCAGAGGGGAAGTGAAGGAAAGTCTTGGGACAGCTAAGAGAAAACTTGCTACCCATCTTGAGAACCAGAGTTTTCCAACTTTGTTGAGGAACAGAATCATTTGAGAAGGCTTTTGGATATCACCTCTGTTGTTGTGCGTCATAATGTTGGAACCCACCCATAGCTGACCCTCAAGCAGGTTTTTCAGAGGCAGCTACATTGGAAGAGATTGCTTATCCTTCCCTGGCTGGTGACCTCAAACCATGTGTCTTCAGGATTGCAGTGCAGCTTCTTGCCTCTAGGCCACCAGAGCTCCTAGAGATTTAAATAAAAAATATTTGACCTAGGACCCAGAAATCTGATTTTACTAGGGAACTGTTCCCCCATAATTATTCCAGATATGATACTTGAAGAATTACTGCCTCAGGGACTGAAATAAAGTCAAGAGATCAAATGTCCAAATGACATATGTCGGACTTTTTATACTCCCTTCTAGGAGAATCTGTGGTTGGATGTATCTTTACATTAAGGTAGTTAAGCACAAGTGTTGAAGTGCTTAGCACTGTGTTTATCACATTATATCATCACCGTATCCACCACACTTTGAAGAAGGACTAACATGAACCACTGCCAATATGTTTGTTGATTAAATATTTCCTAGCCCTGTCACAAAGAGATTCAGTGTTACTGTGGAATCAGATGAAGCTGTCTTTGGATGACATGCTGCTAACAACAACAACACGGATGAGTTATTTAACCCCTTTGAAGTTTAGTAACATGGAGACAACATTTATACTTGATAATTCTGTGAAGAAAAAAAAAATAAGCTAATGTGTTTAAAATAATTCACAGAAAGTATTCAATAAATGTTTTATACTAATATTTATTATTATTATTAATGATTATTATTGTAACAGTTAAGCGCTCAGACCTAACCTAAAGCTTGAGTGTACATTGAAATGTACATTTGAAGTGTACATTGAAATGTCACAGAAGGCAATCCTGGCTGTCTTTTGAAAGATCACAGCCATTTTAAACCCTCTATCAGTTCTCCTCTGCTGTGCTGGACTCACCATGAGTTGCAATAATTTTATCATCATCATAATTATTATTATTATTATTGCTGTTTTTGTTGCCTTGATTTTTCCTCTGCTGTGAGAAGTTGGTGCTTCACTTCCAATCCTTTTTTAAAGTTTTCTAGGCAAATCTCTATATACAGTTACACTAACTTATGTATTTTCTCATATAATGTGGCAAGTTATATTATTCTTAAATATAGGGACAGTAAAAGAAAGATTAGACCTCGTATTAGGAATTGAATTGTATCCTCCAGAAATATGTGTTAAATTAACATTTGTGCCCATGGTTATAATTCCTTTTGGGAATGGAATGTTTTTGTAATGTCCTGTTCAGGACATCTTGTTAATGTTTTCCCTTTACAAATGAGGGATTTTAACACAAAGGTTAAATAATTGTTCAGTATTATACCCAAAACCAAGTGTGTATTTTCATTTTAATTTAGTCATTCTCCAAGTTTTGGTGACCTAGAGGTAAACTATGCTGCAATCCCAAAAGCACAAGGTTTGAACCCACCAGCTGCTCTACAGGAGAAGGATGAGCAATCTCCCTGCATACAGTTAACTGCCTTTAAAAACCTGCTAAAGGGTCAGCTATGAGTTGGTTCTGAGTTGACTGCACACAACAGTCTCATTCAAAGACATTTTAATGATGTCTTCCCTTAAAAAGTGTAAAGTTAGCTTTTATTCTCACTTCATTTTTCTATGTCAGTTTTCCTAAAAGTCAGGTCAGCTACTCAGTTCCAGACGCTTCCTTTCTTAGGTTGTTTGGGAAATATGAGAAGGCATTTGTTATTTTTTTTAAATTGCTGTAAGAACTATATTTATTTTAAAAATGAAATATTTCAGATCATTACTACACTAAAGAAAGGTTAATCTTCCTTCTGTAGAAGAAGTAGATTTAATGGGACAGAATAGCACAGTACTCAGAGCTGAAAGTTTTTACCAATTGAGGATGACTACGTACAAGATACAGAGCTCTGGAGGCCTCGTGGCAAGAAACTGTGCTGCAATCCTGAAGGCACATGGTTTTAATCTACCAGTGCTCCGTGTGAGAAAGATGGGCAGTCTCCTACTGTATGATTAGCTGCCTCTGAAAACCAACCAGAGGGTCAGCTATGCGTTAGTCTCAACTCGATGGTATCCAACAACGACAACAATCATATGATACTTTAAACATAAATACTTAAAAAAGAAAGTATTTTACAAATATACTCAATATTAATTTTCTAATTATTTTCTTTGTTTCTTTTTAGGATACTTCCTGAGCGTTTTATGAAAATTTTAAGAAAAAAGATCAATGTTCAGTTTGATGCCGTTATTGGATATAAAGGACATTAAGTTCCTGAGTTTCTTGAAACTAGATTGGTGCCAGGTTTTTTAATTGATTTCACCTAATGTTGATCAGAATCATAATATTTGATGGACCTTTTCTTAACTCCTCTTTTTCTTTCAATATCATCTCTTGTGGATCCAGCAGTTGTCACTCACTGCCACTTGTTCTTTGGCTGAAAAGCTGTTTTCATGTGACACAAGAGAGAAGAAATACCTCGGAAGTCAACTTTATAGAAAATAGCAAAGGAAAACAATCTTTGCTTCATTTTGTGACTCATCTGAAAGCTTTGCATAACTTGGGCTGTAATTGTTTAAGAAATCATTGTATTTCTAATTATACTTAAATATAATTTTATGTAATCCATATTTCCTTTTCTATTCTATTGACTGTATTTTTTGCAGACAACACACACAGACACAGATGTAACAGGCAGAAATGATAAAGTTATGCAGTACATATATACACACTGAACATTTCTTTTGATATCTAATCATTAACTTCTGCCTCATTTATCTTCATTCAAAGGCAAAAAATAATTTTGTTTGATCATATTTGTATCATATATGTAGAAACTATATCAAGAAGTCATGAATCAAGTAGCACCTGGTAATCCAAAGTTAAAATAATCAAACAGTTTAAACTAATCAAAAAATAGTTGAAACAGCATTTACTCTGGGATGCCATTACCTCTCTGTTCCCTGATGGATACCTCACATTTTAAGACCAAGCATTTCAGCACAAGGAAACATGAGATGGACCAACACAGCAAGTATGGAAACATCATTGGAATTTGAAACAGAGAATCAGGAGGTTTTACACATAAATGCAACAATAATAAATGGATGAAATTGAAACTTTTTGTGTTTCTATCTTTTTGTCACTAACAGAGCATGGTCTTAAAATCTTCACATTTAAGGAGAACAAATGATATCAACAATGATCTCCTTCCTTAATGTATGGAATTTTCTTGGTTGTATGGCAGAGTGAGATGGGCCTCTAAGATCAGACCTATAATTTGGCTTTAGTAGGTTTCTTAAATTTCCATTAAGGAATAGTATTTCCAACACTATAGCAGACATACTAGAAACTCTGGTTACATAGTATGTTACCTGCTGAACTGCTAACCAAAACATTAGGAGTTCAAATCCACCAACCACTGTGTGGGGAAAAGATGGGCAATCTCCTTCCTTAAAGATTTACAGCCACAAGGGAGCTCTGGTGGTATAGTCCATAGTGTGTTGCACTGCTAACCAAAGAGTTACAGACACAGAAACCTGATGGCTATGAATTGGAATTGACTCTACAGCAGTGTTTCCTATCACATAAATTAAACATAGTGAGTATCTTTTGTCTTTATATTAGAAAGTTCATAATCAGGAAACAAAACCAGACTCTTAAACAGCCTCTGCAAGAAATCTATTCTTTTTTTCTGTTTGTGTGTTTTTATGAGGTTTTTTTAGTGATAAATGTTTTTTCAAGAAGAAATCTATTCTTAACAAATTTTAGAGTGAAAAATTTTGATCAGTTTTTTAATTATTGTAATTTTAGCAAAAGTTTACAGGAAAATTGCAGTTTCATTTATTCATTGTTGCATATTTTCCTCCCTACCCCCCCCCCAGTTGACTCTTCAGTATTGCATAATTTTCTCCCTTTCCCCTACACTCCTCCCCCAGTCCCTTTCATATGCATCTTGTTCTGGACTGTTGTCATACAAATAAGTGTTCACTATTTATCCTCTCTAAGTTTCCTCCCAACCCTTATATTAGTCTTGTTTTATAACAATGGTGTTATGCAGTATTTGTCCTTTTGTGATTGAAATATTTCACTCAGCTCAATGTCCTCCAGAGTCACCCAAGTTGTGTAATATTTTATGAGTTCCTTATTTTTCAGTGCTGTGTAGTATTCCATTGTGTGACTATTTCAAAGTTTTTCTATCCATCAGTTTGTTGGGCATTTGGGTTGCTTCGATCTCTTTGCTCTTGTGACTAATGCAGCAATAAACATGAGTGTACATATATCTGAGTAGCAGATCTGGGTTTTTGTAGGGTATATTCCTGGTAGTGGAACTGCTGGGTCAAATGGTATTTCTAATTCCAACATTTTGTGAAAGCTCCAAATTGCCAAATTGACTAAAATGGTTATACCATTTTATACTCTCACCAGCAGTTAATGAGGGTTCCAATCTCTCCATGACCTCACCAGCATTGTTTGTTGCTCCATTGAACATTGCTATTCTTACTGGGCTGAGATGATATCTCATGGTTGTTTTGATTTGCCTCTTTCTGAGAGGTAGGGAATTTGAACATTTCTTCATGTGTTTGTTTACCATCTGAATATCTTCTTCAGTGAAGTGTCTATTTTTAATACCCTATGCCTATTTTATGAGTGGGATGTTCACATTTTTCTTGTTGACGTGCTGGGGTATTCTATAAAATTTAGATATTAATCCCTATCAGATATGTCATCACTAATATTTCCCCCAGTGTGTGCATTTCCTTTTAACCCTTTTGGAGAAGTTTTTTTGCTGTGCATCAGGATTTGATTCTTAGAAGGTCCAATTAATCTATGTTATTCTCTCCTGGTTGTACGTTTTTCAGGATGCTTGGAAGACTGTTTATGTTATGAATTAGGGCTTCAAGAGTTATTCCAGGCTTTTCTCTCATGAAGCTTACTTGGTTTTAGTCCTAGGTCCTTGATCCACTTTGAGTTGTTTTTTGTGTATGATGTGAGGTGTGGGTTTTCCGCAGATCATTTTCCAATTTTGCCAACACCGCTTGTTAAAGAGGCTTTCATTTCCCCACTTAACTGATATCATCTCCTTATCAAAAGTCAATTGACCATAGGTAGATGAGCTGATTTCTGGGTTCTGTATTCTATTCCACTGATCTATGTGTCTGTCACTGTACCAATACCATGGTGTCTGGACCACCACGGCTGTGTAGTGGAATTTGAGATTGGGAAGTGAGATGCCTCCGACTTTGTTTCTCTTTTTCAGGAGTGCTTTCCTTATTTGGGATCTCTTTTCATTACAGATGAAATTGGGAATTGCCATTTCCATCTCATTGAAGAATGGAATTTGTATTTGTACGGGATTGCCTTGAACTTCTAGATTGCCTTTGGTGTAATTGTCATTTTCATAATATTGAGTCTTGCTATCCTCACTTACTTTGGGCACATGGCCAGGAGAGATCGGTCCTTGGAGAAGGACATCATGCTCAGAAGGGTGGATGGACAGCACAGAAAAGAAAGATCCAAGATGAGATGTATTGATACAGTGACTGGGCAATGGGGGTTTGTGTGTCAGAATTAGTGAGACTGGGTCAGGACAGGGAAGGGTTCAGAGCTACAGTGCATAGGGTCATTATGCATCACAGGTGACTCAACAGCACATAACAATAATAATATATTATGATAAGTTTGGAAGTAGGAGTGGCATCCACTTCCTAAACAACATGCCTCTGGAAACTATGAACTTTAATAAATGTCAATAGTTGTAGAGGGTCTTCAGGCCTTTTGTTCATAGGGTCGCTATGAGTTGTGCTTGACTGGAAGGCAATCAACAACAACAATATCCAAGAGCATAGTATATTCTTCCTTTTCTCCAGGCCTCTTTTTTTGTTTCTTGTAGTGATGTTTTGTAATTTACTTTAAATAGGTCTTTTGTGTTTCTAGTTAGATTTACTCCCAAGTATTTAATCTTGTAATTAGCTATTGTGATGGGAATTGTTTTTCTTTCTTATCTCCATTTCAGTATTCTCTTTGTCACTGAAGAGAAAGCCAGTTGACTTCTGTATGTTCATCTTGTATCCTGCCATTTTGCTGAATTGGTCAACTATGTTCAGTAGTTTTCTTGCTGAGTCTTTAGGGTTTTTTAAGTATACTATTAAATCATTTGCATACAGAAATGATTTGACCTCCTCTTTGCCAATTTGGATACCTTATTTCCTTCTCTTGTCTTAATGTTATCACTAAGATTTCTAATACAATATTGAATAGAAGAGGTGATAATCCTTGCTTAGTTTGTATATATACTTTTTACTATGTTGAGGAAATTCCCCTCTATTCCTATTTTGTTGAATGTTTAATCAGGAAAGTGTTGGGGTTTGTCAAAGGCCTTTTCTGCATCAATCGATAGGATCATGTGGTTCTTGTTTTTTTTTGCTTGGAAGCTATGCTACCAAGCCAAAGGTGGGTGATTTTCCTCTGTGGCCCTTGGCCAGGTTCAAATTGTCTTCCTGTCAAACATTCTTCTTTCTAGGTGGTATAGCACTGGTCTGTGTGTTGCTGTACAGAGGTAACTTGTGGTCGCTGTGATGCTGAAGACTGTGACAGTGATGTGCCAATCGTGGTAACGGGTACCCATGGTGGACAGTGTTGGCTGGAGCTTCCCGACTAAATCAAGCCTGGAAGCAGGAGCGGCATCCACTTCTGAAATGACTTGCCTCCGGAAACTCTATGTACGAACAGTGCTCAGGCCATTCGTTCATAGGGTCGCTATGAGTCGTCTACGACTCGACGCCATCAAACAACAACAACCACAACGTGATTAATTACACAGATTGTTGTTATTGTTATTATTATTATGAACCATCCTTGTGTACTTATTATGAATCCCACTTGGTCAGATGATTTTTTTTAATGTTCTGTTGGCCAGGATTTTATTGAGGAGTTTTGCATATATGTTCATGAGAGATATTGGTCTGTATTTATTTATTTATTTTTATTTTAGTGATATTTTTACTTGACTTTGATATCAAGGATATGTTTGCTTCATAGAATGGGTCTGAGAGAATTCTATCTTTTTCTATTTTCTGGATCCTTTATGTAGAATTGGTGACAGTTCTTCTCTGTTGTTTGATAAAATTCACTGGTGAAAACATTAGTCTTGGGTCTTCTTTTGTATTGGGTCCATTCATGTGTTCTACTTAGGTCTCTGTCAGTTTTGGTAGGTTGTGGGTTTCTAAGTATTTGTCCATTTACTGTGGGTTTTCATATTTGAGTATAG